TCAAGACTAATATTTTACAAAGTGCAAATGTATTCTCTTTGAGAAATTTAATTTTAAAAATGCTAAAGTTTCTGCTAGATTTAACAAACAAACCTAACTACGGTAGGCTTGTTTTGGTTCTTTTTGCACATGTCATGAGCTTTATTTTCGCTTGCATGGATTGATTTCAATCTTAAACTTTTACACTTTGCCTTAATTAAATAACAGTCTCTGTGCAAAAGATGTTTATTAGCCCGATCATGTATAAAATATAAAATAATGCCAGATTGTGGTATATTTTCAAATGCTATAGTTTCGAATTGGTCAATAGTTTGCATTCTTAGATAATCTCTCATTTATAATATTTATTTCAGGCAGATCATTTAATTCGACAAGAAAAAGTCAGAGCATCCCAGCTCTTTCATAATTCTTCAACAAACAAAGTCAATAAAGAATGCGAGGGACAGTTGGTTGAAAATCACGTGACCTTACTGCAATCTGAATGCAGACAAATGATAAAGGATGAAAATCTTGAAGGTGAGAGATGACCTCACTCAGTTCAATTTTGAAGAATTACTCTCCGTTACTGTTACGATGGCTAGCCGTACAAAACATGAAAGTCCTTGAATCTAAATACAAAACTTCAAAGCCTTGAATGTCCTTAAATTTTTCTTGCTTTAGTTTTCGGTTATTTTCTGAAATTGTTTGACATCCAAAACGGACATTCTGTTGAACTGATTTCGTCCGTTCGTACCTGACAAAGCTGTTTGAAACTGATTAAAGTTGCGTTTTAGAAAATTCAACGTCAGATTTTACTGATTTCTAACCCCTTTTCATCAGTATTAGTCCTTGAATTTGCTGATCCTTGAAAAGTCCTTGAATTTGACTCTTCTTCTCATGTACGAACCTTGGCTGACCGGAACATGAGCTAATATCCAGCTAGTAGAGAGCCAATCAGATTGGAAAACAGCTCTTATCCAATAGTTTTATAATTCTATAAATTCTTGTATTCAGATCTTGGCCGAATGTACTCGTTAATGAAATCCAGTGTAACGGGATTACGATCGATGGTTCAACTGTTAGAGGATAATATTAAAGAAAAAGGTATTTACTGTTTTCAATGGACTACATTCAATTCGTTACATTTCGTTTACTAACTTTACATGAAACTATGGCAATTGATCCGGCGAGGCCCAGCCGAGCGTTTTAAATATGATAAAACACTCCTTCTCGTGTTTTAAATAGCTTAAAATACGACTACAAAAGAATACTAATTAGGATGAACAATTATATAATCATACTAATTGGGATGAAGAATTATATAAAGAATACTAATGAAGATGAGTTTTATCAGATATAAAGTCACTCCACGTGACATATTATGGCTGACTTGATTTGTCACAAGGTTTATGAATTTTTAATGAGAATTTTAAATATATTTACAAAATGATGGTGTAATATTACAAAAACGGTTACTTAGTTTGAAAGAACAAATGAACAGAAAGAAAGGAATTGAAAACAACTTATCAGTGGTGTAGCAAATCTTCGAATTAAGCCCCTCGAGTTAAGCCCTTCGAGTTAAGCCCCGACCACGCCCTTTCGTGTTAGGGGCTTAACACGAAAGGGCGTGGTCGGGGCTTAACTCGAAGGGCTTAACTCGAGGGGCTTAACTCGAAGATTTGCTACCCCGGTTAGTATATAGTTAAGGTTAATATTACATAACTAAAATAACTCAAGAGGGGTAGATCTAATATTAGCATTGAGGACAGGATTAAGTTGAGAAATTGTTATAGGCTTTCTTGGATAAGAAGATCCTACTCAGAAGTGCCTGATGATAGGATTTTGAAATCAGAAGCGGAGACTGGGTGTTTGTGCATGTGTTTGTAAGCGATGGTTGAGATAGAGCGTTCTTTTCCAGTCAAAGGCGAGACTTCCATATGCTCTGAGGTACGTGTGTGAATGTGTCGGCGTGTTTGGTCAACATACAATGTGCTACAGCATTGACACGTAAACTGATACACAACATGTGATCTCAGGGCAATGGGAATCCTGTCTTTAAATGGAAAAAACCTAGAAGGACGAAAAAAGGGACGAAAACAACACGTATGGAAATATGTGTATAAGCAGAAGCAAGAACTATACTAAGTTGTGAACGGATATGTAGACCTGCATGATGTCCAGTGAAAGGAAGGCATCTTTTTTATCTCTTTATCTTTAAACTTTACATGACTCGTGGTTTTAAGTTTAACCCTCGTATATAAACTTCTTGTTAATTTCTGTTTACATTTCTGTGCAATTCGACGGCATTGGAGCCGACACGATGGCAAAGAGGATCTAAAAACTTTGGTTCAACCAAATTTGTATACATTGGATATGAACACCGCCGTTAAACGTCAAATAATGTAGGAATAAATACGGGAGAAGAAAAGCATTTGCTATAAGGAAATGGCTAAAGGTTTAAGCTCAGCAATTTTATCTCTTTTTCTTTGTGACAAGAAGAAGTTATAAGTTATACTGTGTTTAAACTCTCGCAATTTTCTTTACACTTTTTGCTGGAGCTTTGTCAAGACATTACTATTTCCAGACATCCATATACAACCAGTCGATCCACGGACGTTTGAGCACGTTGTTATGGACGTGTAAATCACAATCGGCATGCAGCAATCCATTCGCAAGTGTACCTGTGCTAAAGTTCGATCCACGTCTTTCCAGTCGTGTGTTCCATATGGGTGGTATGTCTTCTAGACCTTGAGATCTGTGCTATTCTAATTTTTTTTATTTTTCTTTTGCACAGGACTGGAAACCGTTCGATGTATAGACGCAGAAAAAGTAAGTGATCCTGACTGATTGTGTTGGTGATGGTAATATAATATTGAAATTTCACAAAATTTTGTCGGAGAGTTGGAAGATTTTAAGTTACCTTCTGACCTGATGAATAGCCAGACCAAAAAGGTTCAAGCATAATGATGCTTGCTGCCAATTTACTACCACTTTGGTTATCATATAACTATCGCACATAGAATGGAATTCAGTGTAGGAGGCTATCTATAGTAAGCCTGGAAATAAATTGACCCGACAATGCCAAAGTTCCGATTGTCGTGATTTTGAAGGCACAATGACCATTATCATTAAAATGATTTGCACCTGTCACCATCGGCATTCTTATGGCCGTTTGTAATTGCATGCTATAAAATCAACATTCGTTTCATTATTTTTCAGACTCCTCATAATTATGTCGATGCTTTACTTCAAATACACAGGAAGTATTTCACCCTAATCAATAACACATTCAATGGGGACAAAGCATTTTTCAAGGCTTTAGATCAGGTAGGCCAAAAAGAACGGCTGCAATTACAAAGGGATAGACATTCCTGAAAATTGTTCGCATTGCCATTGTAATTCTAACAACTATGTCATATTCTGTTAGTAATAGCGATCCAATCTTTTGTTATACAGGCATGCTATGTAATCGTAAATACTGAGCAAACAGACAAGAGGAACTGTCAGTCAGCAGAACTGGTAAGTCTCGTGTTTTTAATTTTTTTGTACCATTCACCGAAAGCATTCACTCTAAAAAATAAGGTGTGTCTTTTCAACACACCTTCTGTCGCCAAAGGCGTGTTTTTTTACACACGTTAAGGTGTGTATTTTCCGGATAAGGTGTGTATTCTTGCACACCATAAGGTGTGTATTGGGTAAATGTATTTGCAAGATAAAGATGTGTAAAAAACACGCCTTAAGGTCCAGGACACACCGGACGCGATTCGACAACGCGACGCGATTTTGTTATTTTCACTGACCGATAACTTTGATCCAAGTTTAAATTTTCCAAATATTTAGAAGCGCTATAACATTTTGAGTTATTTGGTCTACATATCTTTCAAAATTTGCTCTCATTGGCTATTTTATTATAACGCGACGCGATTTTTCAGTTTTCAATGACATTTAACTTTAATATTTTTCAATGTTTTTCAAATATTCGGAACCACTTAAGCAATTTTAGCTATTTGGTCTGCATATCTTGTAAAATTTTTATCCGTTGACTGTTTTATTTGTTCTTGAAAACGGAAAATTCGCGTTGCCGAATCGCGTCCGGTCTGTGTGGGCCTTTAACGTGTGTTTTTTATCTTTTTTTTTGTCACCAAATTCACACACCATAAGGTGTGTATTTACAGGGATGGATCTAGCATGATCTGGGAGGGGGCTCCTTGGTGCTTCAGAATTGGGTTGAGTTTCAGGTCGGTCATGTGCCATGTGTGTATTTGCATTGTAATTATTGGTTCACGCTCCACTTTATCATCATGGTTACCGGTCGTCTCATTTTATTCCTTTGCTTATCATGTACAGTTAACTCTGCACCCCCTAAATGCATCCCTGTTTTTACACACCTTAAGGTGTGTATTTTTACATACCTTAAGGTGTGTATTTTTACACACCTTAAGGTGTGTATTTTTCCCTGAATCTCTGGCGAACAAATTACCCTCCTTAAGGCGTGCTTTTATATGTACCTTGCAAGGTGTGCAAAATAACACACCTTTTCGCTTGCTACACAGCTTGCAAATACACATCTTGAGAGGTGAGCAAAATTACACACCTTTGTTCAGTTTGGTCTCAGATCACAGATCTAATTGGAATAAAAAATAAACAAAAGAAGCAACATATCTGAGTGTACAATTCCCAAATTTAATAATAGCTAAAATTATTAAGTATTTACAATATATAAGCTAGGACTACAATCATGCAAACATCAATATACAATTATTGTATTGACAGTTTGTATTTCTTATAGTTGGCACGCTTTGCAGATTCGATCTTAAAGAAGAGTCAGAGAAACCTCAGCGAAAGTGAACAAGAGGAGAAAATGGCGGATATTGTGAGTGTCCTGTTAATATGACGACTTTAGAGACGTGTGTTTGGACAGCTGTTTATCAAAATGCGCTGCTTGTGGGTAAATCTAAAACACACCGTGCGATAAATCAAGACTGTTAGATGCACTTACTTAGTCTTAAGGATAAAGTACATAAAGCACAGTATTCTAAAAGGTGCTAAGAAACTTGAAAATGTTTATTAGAAAAAGAAGGAAGGAGCGCAATTGCATATACAAACACATATAGTTAAGGACAACATTCTTTATTTGTCAAAGTTACATATCCAATCATATAGCTGTTCCAGGTCCATTGATGCCAGTGGTAATTAACCTGGTCACATGGTATTCTAGTCCCATTGTATAGCAAAGTACAAGTACGTTGTTATATAGTGAGAGTTCCGTGTAACTCACAGAAACCAGGTTTAATATAAAACAAGTTTTTGCTCGCTACTCTGGTGATTTAAAGTAGGGGAAATTTGCTTTGGCATACGTTGCGGTGGACGATTCTGTAATAATTACAACGAATAATCATGTGGCCAGTATTTTCACCTCCCATTAATTTACTTAAAAACACAGAGTATAGCGAGCAAAAACAAGGAGCCAATTTTTTAGACACCTCCCTCACTCTCCATGCATTGGTGATACTAATAGAAACCTATTCTTATTTAGATCATCATATTCAAGTATCTTGATAATAAAGACATCTTCCAAATGGTTTGTGTTTCCATACTTTTTATGTAATTTATACAGTAATAAATGAAACAACGTTTGTCACAGGCGTATAAATACCGAAAAGTGTGTTCAAAAACGCAATACTAGTCTAGTTCTTTTATGTATTTTGAGGTGTTTTTAATAGACAGTTTGCGATTTTGTCTAGCGGACGATAGAATTTACAGTCAAAATACAAAATATGTCCCATGCACTTCTCCTTCTGTAGTCTGTTGTGATTTACTGTATTTTTTTTGTAGCGATTACCGATTTATCGGCAAATACCACGAAATAATTTTAATTTCGCACCTTTTAGCTATACAATGAATTATTTACTACAAATTGTCATATAAAAAACATTTTATCGCGGTATTTGCCGATAGACCGGTATAACCACCACAGAAATGGGAGCTAGTGGGAAACTTTTTGTTATTTGATTTCGATTGTAAAGAGAAATTCAAGGCGATAGTTGAGTTCATCTATGGGTGTTTGTTTCCGTGTTGTCACGACGACGATACGGGGCTGTTTCCTTTGTGTTTTGCTCGTGGTTATTGATGAGTTTGAGCAATTATTGTCATTATTATTGTTACGCTTCAATTTATTATTATTTAAGTTGTGTATTTATTCATTCCACTGATATTTATCTATTGATTTAGGCCCTTGTTAACTTGTTAAGGCCAAAAAAAAATATGCGGGTTTCCAGTTTCTTCTTATAAAAACTTAGGTAGGGTAGATCGGTTTTAACTTTTTTTTAAACTTTTTTTTTTAATTTTCCTAACAACCGGACGCCATTTTGTTTAGTCAGTGCTTCCACATCCAAAGATAAATCTCCCTAATATTGCCTCAAGTTTCAATTTTCCACAAACTTTTTCCTCTAAGTGGAAACACTTACAAGCATGATCCAATAAAAAAGTTTAGGGTCGGGATTTCGACGTCCAAAAGCTAGGTAGGGTCGGGAAACCAGAAACCCACATTTTTTTTTGCCTAATTTGTGTGTTTCTGAATTGTTTTAGTTTTATGCAAAAATGTTGGCTAAACGTTTGATTCATAATCTGTCCGTTTCAATGGATGCTGAAGAAAATATGATCAACCGACTAAAGGTAACCATAATTCCTAAATCGTGATAGTTACCCATACACCATACATTGGTACCACCTTAATTGGTATTTATATTGCATGAACTTTTGGTTAGAGCTCGACAACTGTCTCTGTACCTCAGTTGGTTAGAGCGCTGTACCATTAATATGTTCGCAACTGTTCCTCGTTAGGTCTAATAAATGTATAAAAATTCCACTCGGAATTTCCATCCACAAGTCCCTTAGGGACCGGTCATTACTTATGGCAGGGGTGGGGGCCAGTGTCAGTCAGTGCATGCCAATCTTAAAATGATTGAGCAATATAACTTCAGTGAATGAATCTTCAGTCCAGAAATGTTTAATTCCATTGGCATTT